TAATGTCAAAAATTTTCACCAGCTCACTTAAATGCCTCGGAGAAAAAACAATCACTTAAGTGCCAACGGCGAGATATTCCGACCAAAATAACTACATGACCTTTATATAAAAAAAAATGAGCTCAGTTGGATTTTTTGTTAAAAGTTTCGGTCCACGTGGACTGGCAAAATGGGGGGGGAAGAACACTAGAAGTGATAAAACTTGTGTATGGCACTCACTTTAGTATCAAAATTTTTTTTCGGATTACTTAAGTGCCACTTTTTAAAAAAAACGATAACTTAAGTGCCAATTCCGATTTCGGTCGCTGGAAATCTGACGTGGCCATATTTTATTAATTTCTCAATCCTACATGGCACGTCGGCGCTGCGGGGATAATATTTAATAATATTTAAATATTTTTTATGATTTTTTTTCTTTTTTTCCTTCTTTTCTTTTCTTTCTTCTTCTTTTACCTTTGGCCGGTGACCGAACACCAGCCACCAGCCATTGGCCATGACCGACAGCCTAGCCTAGCCCGGACAAGACCGCTGTCGCCCGGACGAGACCGCTGTCACCCGCCATAGGCGAGGCCCGACTTGGCGAGGGTCGGCCTTGCCTCGCTAGATCCAGCGAGGCTGACCCTCACCTAGGCCATGGCGAATTTGGCGAGGGTCGGCCTCGCCTCGCTTGGGCAAGGGCGAGCCCCGGCGAGGGCTCCCCTCACCAGATCCGATGAGACCGCTGTGGCCTGGGCGAGGGCCGGCCTCGATGGATTTGGTGAGGCGAGGCCGACCCTCGCTGGGGCTCGCCCGCCCTCACCCAGGTGAGGGTCGAGCGGGCCTTGCCCGTGGTAGGTGACAGCGGCCTTGTCTGGGCGAGGTCAGGTGGCCGGTGGCTGGTGTCCAGTCACCAACCAAAGGTAGAAGAAGAAGAAAGAAAAGAACAAAAGAAAAGAAGGAAAAAAAAATAATTTTTTTTAAAAAAATCGAAATATACACATGGAAATGCCACGTAGACTAAATTTTTTTTTTAAATCCTACTCAAATTAAAATTTTAATTATAAAAGCCACGTATTAATTTAGCCAGAATTTCTCGCCGTTGGCACTTAAGTGATCATTTTTCCTCCGATTTGGCATTTAAGTGAGCCAACGAAAACTTTTGGTACTAATATGAGCACCGTACACAAGTTTTGGCACTTCTAGTGTTCTTCTCCCGGCAAAACGGCGTCGCTCAGTCCAACGTGACTGGGTAGGATTAAATGGCGCTGCACCAACGCCGTTGCCCAAAAATGACGACACACCATCCATTGCCCAAAACGACGCCGCACCATTCTATGCCCAAAAACGACGCTGCACATGATGAATGAAAGTTAGGGCTCTGGTTGTGTTCGTCTCACCATCCACCATTCTCCCTGTCAAAGTCGCTCGTCGTCACTTGCTGTTCGTCGCTCGCTATTGCTCGTAGTCTCTATCGCTCTTAGTCAGTCAAGTTAGTCATCCTCTTTGTCACTCTCAGTCCGTCGCTCACCTTCTTCTTCACTTTATTGAAAAAAATTGAGCCGCTGTTGAAGCTCCTGCCATCCATTTGCAAGATCGAGCAGTTAATTTTTTGGGCAAATTGAATTAGGTGTGAATTTCGGTTGATTGGCCGGTTAGGGTTTCAAATGTGGGTTTCTCTTTCAATTTGGGGATTTATGGTTTTTATTTGAGGGAAAACTAGTAGACGAATCGTTTATGATTTAGATGCTGACTGAACCCTCTAGCAAGCCACGTCGGCTTAAAAAATTAATATAAAAAGGCCACATTGGATTTCCCGACCAAGCATATCAGAATTGACACTGTAATGATCATTTTTCAAAAAATTTAATACTTAAGTGATCCAAAAAAAACTTTTGGCACTAAAATAAGTATCATACACAACTTTTGGCACTTACGGTATCCTTTTGCCATTTTTAATCCTATCTTAGATTGCACTAAACATATAATGAGATTTTTAACAATCCAGAGGATATTCGGAGGATTTCTAATCCCACCTTATCATATCCTATCACAATCCAAATTCGGATGACGAAACACAACATTAAAGGCTTGCTGCGATACCTAGGATTGAATAAAAAAGAGATATTATATATAAATTTATCTAGAACAATATATGAAGAAATGCTGTAATCCACACACAAGTTAGGAGATCAAGATAAAGTAATGTCCCCACTAACTTTTTTTTATCTATGTGATACACATGATGGATGGCCTTTCTCTTAAATATTTTATAGTATGTCTTTTGCTAGCAGCACTTATCCTCAACTACACTAATTATAACACTAAGCAATGTATAGATATTGGAACGTGGAAAAGGTGCTGCAGAACGTGACTAATAGATGCAATGAAAGAGGCAGATAGCAACTCCATAACCCTAGCATGTATTTCTTTGCATAAAGATTATACAAGAGCAAGAATAATCCTTCAGGTCGATAGAAAGAAACAATAATTAATTCCTCCTAGATCATCTGGTGGAGGTACTAACTTCACCGACATCAAAGGATTGCTCAATTAGGTAAGAGATTTGTTTTGTACGTTAAGGCGGATTTACGAAATTGATAGAATACATAACACGTCATATGTTGAATACGACTCCTTTGCAATTTATGACATCAGTTAACATATCGATTGTGTAGCCCTATATTAGTACGTATCACATTATTAAATATATTCCTTTATTGCTGCTAATATCAATGAAGGAGACAATTGTCCAAAAAGTCCTAAACCTATTATTCGGTGGCCAATTCAATTCTATCTTTTAATTGTATCAATTTATACCTAAACCCTTTGATGACTTGCCTATGTAGTTCTTTCGATCAATTTTGATCGAAAATTGCTGACATGGATGCCGACAGAAGGGAACGTTGACAATTTTTTGCAAATTTTTTAATTTGTGAATTTTTTTCTTTTTTCTTTCCCTTTTCTTTTCTTTTCTTTTGTTCCCTTTTTTTTTTCCTTTCTTTTTCGGTTGGCCACAGGCGAGGGCTACCCTGCTTGGACGACGATCATCCATGCTAGATCTGGCGTGGGCGATGATGGCGAGGGTGACGGCCAACAAGGGTTACCCGCCAAATCTAGGGAGGCCGACCCTTGCTTGCGGCTAGTGAATGCGGCCCTCGCCTATGGCTGCCACTGCCGACCATAGGGAAAAAGGAAAGAAAGGAAAAAAAAATGAAAAAAAGGAAAAAAGAAAAATATTTAAAAAATTTACAAAAATTATCCACGTCAATGCTAGCTGCACCATTTAGGACGGTTGGTGTCCATGTTAGCAATTTTTGGTCAAAATTAGTCCGAAAGATTACATTGGTAAATCGTCAATATGTTTAGGACTAAATTGGCATAATCGAAAATTTTAAAACTGAATTGATTGGACAATTTTCTCAGCAACAAGGACAAGGCAACGCAAATGACAAGTCCATGTTTAATACTCGGTCCAGTCCGAGCCTCAAATAATGACGCGACCTTAGTCATTCATTAGTCATTTAACAAGTACTCTAAAAGTATTGGCATCAATAATTTTACTTTCAATTTATAATTTATATGTCGGTAGTAGAAATACGTTCTCAAATAATTGGTCTCGATGAAACATAGAGACATATATATCCACTTCCTTCCTAAATAACAGTTCTTTTTAATAACATGAGATAATCGGCAATTTCGATAGACTAACAAACTGCTGCATTGCTTGAGTGAAGCTCGCGCGACGTAGCCTTCAAGATTACTTTCCATTCAGAGAAGCATAATTTGAATTAGGGGTGAGTATGGTTCCAAAGTAGAATCTGGAACCGAAGACTTGAACCATTGAAAACCTATATGGTTCTAGGTTTTAGGGAATGCAGGGTAGGTTACAAGTTCCAAAAATTGAGGAACTTGTTTCGATGCATAAGTTTTAGGTTTTAGGTAGGTGAAACCTGGAACAAGTTTTTGTGTTTTTCTTGTTATCCTGTGGTACTCTATGGCGTTCGATAACAAGTGCGTAATTTGGAACCACTAGTTTGAGCTTCCATTTTATGACTAAGATTTTCACTTTTTTTAATATTTCATATTTTTTGAAAAACCGTTATTTAAAAGTGTTTTAGCCGTCTGTGAGTTGTAAAAGTCTTTAAGTGTCGTTTATCAGTCTTTTTGTCGCTTGTCAGAGTTTTCCTTACCGTATGTCAGTTGTAAAAGCTCAGGAACGTCTAGCTTCTTCTCTTGCTGCATGTTATTTTGTTTTTCCATTTCGTGCAGAATTTCACCAATAATTAGCTGTTGGTCTACTTTTTTGCCTATATAAGGCAATACTTATAAGGTTTGGAGCAGGATATAAGTTATGGTCAGTGGATTGTAGAACTAATTGTTGGTAATTAAAGGTAATGATTCACTACAATCATTCAATTAATACATGTAGAAACTGAGTAAACCCTGAATCCGTAACACTGAACCTGTAACATGGTAGCTTTCAGGTTTTAAGGTATGCATGGTATATTTTAAGTTTCAAAAAATGAAGAATCAAGTAGCTTTCAGGTGGAATATGTACGGAACTTAAAACCAACCTAAAATATGGAACTTCTCACCCTTAATATGAACACAAGATTTGTCACCTTCTTAGTCAACCAATTAACTTCTAACCCAATTTATATCTCGATGCCTTAGACTTCAATTGCGCCTAACAATAAAAATTTGCCACCGTATGGAAAGAGAACTTGTCTTCGAGAAAGGGTAGAGCCAATGGAGCACCGGGTCAACATGGAAGTTCTGGACAGACCCCATGAACAGATGAATAAAAAGGAGGAAGATTCGTGACTGGGGAGAGTACGTGTGCCCCCCCGTTTCCACTCTAGAGCCTCGCCTGGTGGGCACTCCTGTCTTGACTTTGAATTTCTTCTTTTGCCTTTCAACTCTCGACCGACCTCTTTTTCTCTCTCTCTCTCTCGCGGCACGCCAATCCGTTCATCCTTTTTTTTATTCGCAAATTGTTTGTTTTTGTTTTGTTTTTTGTCGTCATCATTTGAATATCGTTCACCCTTTTGCTCTCTGTCTGTAGAGATTATTATATATAGAGATATCACCCAAAACACAGCTTAACATAAGCTCATGACAGCTCCTTCCTGACGTTCTTATCTCTTTCTTGGCTCTCCTCCTCCCCACCGCAGCTCGTGCTGCTTCCTCCCTCTTTCCTTTCTTTAAGTCCCTATATATTGCCCTTCACTGCAGTCCATTTGACACAGTTCGGCGTCTCGAATCTTTCTTTGCTTCTGGGTCAATCTGAGGAAGCCCTAGTACAGCTAGCTGATCAAGAAAGGGGAAGGAAAAAGGAAAAAGATTTGGTTTTTCGAGCTGAGTTTGGTTGAAGACAGTTCTTGGAATCGCCTCCCGCTATGGATTACTCTTCCTGCATCAGTACTTCGCTGGATCTCAATATTAAGCCGCTCAGGGTTCTTGATGAAGCTCCGGTATGTGGAAAGTTCCCTCCCTTTTTTAGCCTTTCTGATTCAAAGTTGAAGTTCAGCTGCCAGTTTCTAGACATGGTTTGATTGAGATTTATTTGTATTTTGCTTCCAGAAGAGAGAGCCGCAAGAGACCAACTTTATGGATTTGGGTTTAAATACCTCTGTCAAAGAAGAGGCCAGTGTGAGTCCATGAACTTTCTCTTGTAATGAATGAACACAAACTTGACTTGTGGGTTGTGTCATGTCCAGTTATAAATTCCTACAAAAGATTGAGGATGGTTTGTTGTTTTCTTTTGTGTTGCCTTTTGTTCAGACTGGTGCTTTGGTTGAGGAACTGAATAGGGTGAGTGCTGAGAACAAGAAGCTCACACAGATGCTGACCGTCATGTGTGAGAACTACAATACATTGAGAAGCCAAGTGATGGATTACATGAGCAAGAATGCTGAGAAGGAGCTCAGCCCCTCCAAGAAAAGGAAATGCGACAGCAGCAACAACAATGGCGACAACAATGCTAACATGCTTACAAATGGAGCTTCCGAGAGCAGCTCAACAGATGAAGACTCATCTAGGAAACCGAGGGAGGAAAAAATCACAGCTAAAATCTCAAGGATCTATGTGAGGACCGAAGCATCTGACACTAGCCTGGTAAGCCCTTGAGTTCACTTCAGTCATGGCTAATTTAAAGCTGCAAATCATTGATGGCTGATTCATGAACTAATGTATGTTTGTGTGTGTTTGTTGCAGATAGTGAAAGATGGGTATCAGTGGAGGAAATATGGTCAAAAGGTGACCAGAGACAACCCATGTCCTAGGGCTTACTTCAAGTGCTCTTTTGCTCCAAGCTGCCCAGTCAAGAAGAAGGTAGGTTTAACTAAATAAATTTCTTATAGATGTGTAATTTGTTAGCAATTGGGACATCGAAAGAGTGTCTTATGTTTAGGCTTATATGTATTGTTAGTACATGTCAGACAAAATATGACGGTTTCTTGCTCGAATTTGGCTCTTCAGGTGCAAAGGAGTGTTGAGGACCAAGCTGTTCTGGTAGCTACATATGAAGGTGAACACAACCATCCAACTCAGATGGAGGAAACATCGGGCTCAAGCAGGTGCATGGCCATTGGATCAGTGCCCTGCTCAACCTCACTCAACTCATCTGGACCAACCATCACTCTTGACCTCACCAAATCAAAGTCCCCCATCGATTCCCCAATCAACAACAACAACAACAACAACAACAGCAGCAACAACAAAACCGCCTCAAAACCCAAGACGGAGTCGCCCGAAATCCAAAGGTTTCTGGTGGAGCAGATGGCCTCATCCCTCACGAAAGACCCCAGCTTCACTGCTGCCCTGGCTGCAGCCATTTCAGGGAAGATCTTCCACCAGAATTCGCCCGGGAAATGGTGAAAAAATCAGGCAAGGGTCTTTAGGTTTTGATTTTGCGCTGTAAATGGATTGAAAGTGAAAGGTTCAAAAAGAAAGAAGAGGGGAAATTTTGCTCTGCTACGTTGGAAGCTGTCATCCAAGATTTTGGAATCAAGTTGCTCAAATTGGACAGTCTAGTCCAAGCAGTCCAACTCAAAGTGGTGGGCTGTTCGAGTCGTCTTCCACAACTTGTTGAAAGAGCTAGCAGTCTTTGCTTTTTTTTCTTCTTTTGTCACGTGTAGCTTGCTTTTCTTGACTTCCCTTGTGGGGCCAAATTTGAGAAGGGAGGGGGTGCTCTGACCGCTCCCGTGCAATAAGATTGGGAAAGCAACGTTCGTGGAAATTGGATGCATCTTCCAACTCAGCCGGAACTGCCAGTCTTTGGTCTTCTCTTTTGCCAAAGAGTTGAAGAGAAGTGGTGGTAATATCCTGATTTTCATGTTTGGAGTCTAGATAGGACAAGCACAAGAAGAGAAGCTCCTGTAGTAGGAAGAGAAACAGATATCTTGTATACATTAATCATGGATTAGCTCAGGAACCCTTGTTATTGGATATAGAAACTGCCCGATTAGTTGGATATAGAAACCGCTCGATAAGTTGGAGCAATTGCTCGGCGTATAAATAGATTCCGAGTATGGTTTTCGACAATCTTTTTCTTGGTTTTACCCTTTAATTGTTACGTTCAAAGGCGATCTTTCGTACCCGGGAAGGAAAACACGAATTCATGAACTGCACAATCAACGATATCGGTCATGGAAACAGCTAAGCAGGGCAAATATTTCCCAAAGGTCCATTGAACTTGGGTTTTTGTTTTTAATGAAGACAAGTCTGCAATTAGTGTATAGACATCTACGTACGACTACAGTCTTAACATATTGAATAGTTGCCAGATATGAGTCATCTCAATTAAATAATGCGGTAATAAGTCGTACCAAATGAGAGCACAAGAGAGTGATTACAACAGCTAGTGGTCCCTAGTGACTGATTTTACGCAATCGACCTGCCTGGTCATCAAACAAAATTACAATGGCTGGAAATCCATCTTAATAACTTGAGAGAGGGGAAGATGATTCGTCCTTCGCTCTTTCTAGTATCAGACCACTTGTCTCACTGGGTTTTCTTTCGTCCTTAGCATTTCTGCCGTCTTTTTCCCGAGCTTCTGCTGAGGCAATGCACTCATGAAATCTGAAGCAACTAACGAGATGATCGTTAGTTAATCCAGCAACCTGCATGAATGAATAGACGACCGTGGGGCTGACGCTCCGGAACCCTCTCTTGATCAATTCTTTGCTTATGAACTCCGCCTTTGAAGTTTTCGCAGGCACCTGACGGGAATACTTGAACTGGCTGACAAGTGGGTTGTGGTTTACAAAGTTCCATATATACTTGTCAAAGGATCCGAACTCTTCGATTACCTGTATTATCAATTAAGAACCACAAAATTATTTAAAAAAAGAAGGTTCTGCAGTTAAGCTTGAAATATTCAAAGCATATTCATATAATTCTTCCGAATCCTTCTCTTGCTTGGACTAATATATTGCTGCTTGAAGTTTCATGATGGAACTTTCAACGCCAAAGAAAGGTTGTATGATGGGAAGAGAATTTCTCAGGAGAGGCCACAAAGTCAAGAATGTCGCCCCACTACTAGAGATTTGAAAGTCGCAGAGAAAAACCCTCAGTGTGCTATTTGCAACATACGGCAAGGATACAATAACTACAGAACAAGGAGACGAGGTCACTACCTTGCACATCTGACGTGCATTTTCCAAGATAGCTCGCAGCTTTGATTCCGATAATAATGAAATGGCAGGACTCCCTGGTGCAGTTACCTTTTTCTCATTTAGTTTCGATACAGAGACTGGATCAAAATTCAAGAAGACTTCCCTGATCACAAGCATATGCACCGTGAAGTAAGCCAATGCTAATAGTACTCTTGATACCCTGTGTTCCTCATTTTATATAAAGCTAGAGCAGTGAAAACTTGATAATTACTCATCAATATTGAAACCACCAGGCACGGTAGATATTAGTTTGAATTGGCTTTTACCTAAAAAAATGCCTTTTGGTAAGAATGGCTGGCCATGAAAGTTCAGCTAAAGCACCTGATAAGCAGAGCAATTCAAATAATCTCCTGCAAGATGTCAGGAATGGTCAGAAACCGTGCAAGAGAGACCACAGATACAGTAACGGAATAGGTTCTTAGTTAGTTTAGACACCTGTCGTCATGAATTGGGAACCCCCATTCCTCATCATGAAAAGTAGCATAATTAGGATCTATTCAACGCATGAAAAAGAGTAGATATGGTCAGAATATGTAAACGACAGAAAGAAGGGCACATTGAAACAACATCAAGGATGTACAGCTGCCAGTACACAATATATAAGAAAAACCGCCTCTTATATGTGCATATACTCCATAACTGCATAAGCACATGCATCTACATTCTAGCACGAGTTCATGGTCAAAGAAATGAAAAGTCATAGTCCAAGAACGAGGTTTGAAAGAGTCTCCAGTTGATTGGAATGGTCAAGCCCTTAATATGCATGTACTTTAGCACTTCATTATGAAACCTAGCTTAAAAAGTGCGCGGAACACTTTCACTCGCCCACCCAGTCAACCAATGCAACGTCCATATTTATTCCATCGAAAATCAGCTGATCGTAAAAAGCAATATTCTAGTAAATCAGCCCTCTAATGATACATTTAACACGCCAATGTCCACAGTATGCATGTAGAGAATTAGTTACAACTACAAGCCACCATAAAATTCCATCAACCAAGCTTACACAGTTGGGAAAAGAGATTTGAAAACAGTAAGAAGTACTTACAGGGTTCGACTTTGAGATTAGGCCTAGAGGATAGTCGAATTCCTACTCAGGCCCCGTGCACATGAACGTTTTTCTTTAATTGGTTTCAAAATGGTATTTTCCAAAAACCGCTTTTGTTTAGCTCCTTTCTCAGCAGCAGAGAATTAATAGAAGGGATTGGAATTCCCAGAAGGACAGGAATCTTGGAGAATTTAAAGGAGGAGAAAAATACTAGGATCATAATGGCCCTTTCAAGTGGGAGAAAATTTTCTAAAACATTAAACTTTGCTTATGCAACAGAGTGATCAAATAATCAAGAGCAAATTACAAAGTGAACAAATAACATGAACAAATCTGTTGAAGAAATCCTTTTAGCAATTTGATGGTTCTAAAGTCTGAAGTGTTTAATAAGTTGTTCGAACGAAAGTACAGATGAAAATCACTAAAAAAAAACAGAAGCAAAAATAAGAACTTCACACAAGTCCTTTCAATGTAACTAGTCATACCCGTGCCAATTGTGGTGTCAAAGTAAAAGAACAAACAGTTATCCATCAACATAACAGAACTTTTCAGGTGCAATATATCACCAAAAGCATGCCAAAATATGTGTTGGACCTACCACATGTGATAGTAGAAGGACAAGGCATAAGCACAGGGAAAATTTCAGAAGATGACAAACAGTTTCCTTGTATAGATTGGTTTTGTGGAATTCGATTTTGGAAGACCCAGCTCATGAAAACAATATTGATTCAAGATTATCACCACTTGGATTTGGTAGCAAATTTTTCTCAAATTGATAGACTAAATAGGCAATCAATGTTGGCTGGGAAATTACCTTAAATAAGTGATTTCTTCCAAACTGGTGATTTAGGTTAACTGCACTTGGTCTAAACACCAGACTCCGTGGGATTTCCAGGGAAACTTGTATGGATCCAATGGTCTAATGATTCGAACTTCATCTTTCGGTTTTGGAGCTTTATGCATATAGGAACACCTTCATTGCTTCTTTAAATTATTAAGTTTGCGAATCCTAATTGGCAAGTGTTGTATTTGAAGTTATTGGGTCTGTTGTCCATCTGTGAACAAACAAGCATGTGAGTATGTGAATGGAGAGAGAGAGAGAGATCCACATTTGAGGAGGAATTTGGTTATGGGAACATCAACAAAAGGAAGAGTCTACTATGGGTATCTGCAGAAAGAAAGCTGTTTTACAAGCTCGAAACAAAGGCAGTCTGTACAGTCCATTAAATAGTGGAATGTAGCCTACTTGGACTGATAAAACTGTCTGTTCTCTTAATTAAATTGCAACTAAACTTGGCCCAATATTTTACTAAAAGCTGGAAGAAAGGGCGTGGCAGACCTCTGTAAACATTGCTACAAGCTTCTCTATAGCTATACTCTGGATTTGTTCCATTGTAGTTGCTAATTTCACTCAATTGGAGAAAAACAGTTATTGGAAAACTCTTAAATTTTGCTCCAAGCAATTTACCGTATCTTGGTTGAAAAAAAAACAAATTCTCAGGCCAAGCACCCTCATGTTCATCCAAGTGTCAATTGACCTTGAATTGTGGCTGCTCTTGAAGACGATTGTCTGTGACTACTCTCGAAGATAAAGATTGGTGTCCGAAAAACAAAGGACTTGGAACGACAAATGGTGGTAGTCTCAGTGTCAGAGTAGATAGGGTTCAATTCTTTTACAAGACTAATGGCAAGAAGAAAGATAAAGCTAGGGTTTGGCTCTGATACAACGGCTACATTCTTACTCAATAACTTAATGAAAAAGTACATAAGATGGCTCTATTTTTAGAGCATGAGAAGCACTAACAAAACCCTAATTTCCTCATCTATGACCAAAACATAATATCCATAGATATACCTCAACAGATTCTATATCTCCATATTACCGCTAAATCTGCGACAACCTTCCATCCTTTTCAAATGTACACTAGAACAAGCGACAAATAATGCGCAATTTAATCAGAAAAGTATATCATGTACCAGAAAAATCGTCCAACTTATGTTGTGATCCAAGGACCATTAAACTCTATCCACACTCATCTGTTAGATGGAAATGTAGAGTTCTGGTGGATCTACTGATGCCTGATTCATGCAGTAGGTTGACAAAATCTTATTGAAACGAGTGATCATCTACGATTCTCACAGTCGATTGTGTTAAACATATTCTTTGGATATACATTAAAAACTAGTGTTATCGTCTACTTATTATAGTCTCCAAAGTTGGACATACTCCCTGTCCTTGCCATATAATCTGAAGTGGACGTGAAGGGCTAATAATTTTTATGGGCATGTCATTTTGTACTTTACTCTGTCAATTCATCATAATAACAGAGCTTCCTTCCACAATAGCATAAAAATGACACAGGCTGAACTCCTCCTGCTACATAATCACACGGGACCGGTGCAATCATAATTCCCCACAGTATTAGTGAAAAGAGAACAAAAGACAAATCAATTGAACTGACTCCTAATGCTGTCCAGCAACCGATTTACAGAATTTATCCAGTTGACCTTTCATTCACTTAAATCCCACATACTTGCCCACATTTGACAAGGCATGCGAGTATAATTCATTCAAAACCCTGATGAAGGTGATTACTTCAGGCTCCCTACAAGCAACTTCATTCAAAGGAACCAGCTGAGGCCTGGTGATTAAGGGTGATGATATCCTGCTTTTCTTAGTTACCACTACAATTCCGAAGCATAAAAGTCAGTAGCACTTGGATGGTTCTCCAAAAATGAGGCAAATAATTTATTACAGAAATGATGCTGATATTTTCGTCATCTGTAGAGCCGTATTTTTCTATGTAGATACTGTACTGAATGTTTCCTCCTTATTATTTTTAATATTAGCTCTATTCAGGCAAACAATTATTAAAAACATGCCCATAATCTGCATATTTTTTGTCCCAGCGACAATCCATTTTCCTGAAAATCCTCCTATGCATAATTTGTAACTCGAGCTTCATTAAATACTAAGTGACTCTGTTTCCTGTTAGGGCTGGTCTACATTTTGAATCATGACACATGTGAGACAAGGCAGAACTAATTGAGGGTCTAACGCATAGTTTTCCATTAATGGACTTCATAAAGCTTTTACTTGAAGCAAAAAGTTAAAGCTTTAGACCAATGTCATCCCTCATCTTGGAGTAGTACATTAACTATGACACTATTTGTAATTGAAGATGCACAGAACATTTTTTTCTTCTAGAAAAAAGAGCCCTCACTTGGCATAACTTTGCTTAGTCACACACCTGCGGACCATACCATAAAGGAAAGTAACTGCCCTAGCTGTGTACAATCAACAATGTCTCACATGTTCAAATTCCATTATGGTTTCTTAAGTTTACGGGTATGCTATAGTGATATTCATCACATACTACATTTGAACAATGCAAACCTGGTTCCACCTTGAGATCTCCTTAGCATAAAAAGACCATGCATAATCTTCGTGCACATAAGTAAAAGTTATCAAGTGCAACGAAACACAATTAGTTCTCAGTATATTGTAAAAATGTCAACCATACCTGTATTTGGCGTGACCCAACTGCATCTTTTCTTGACCTCTAGACCATCCAGGGATTCGATTAACCCACCATCATCACCAACCTTTTCAACCGTGTCTACCTCTCTACCATCAGTCTGGTCTGCCTTCAAGCTACATTTCTTCTTCCTCACAACGGCACTCGTTCTCCTCCCCGTGACCATCCTCCCGCTCGACATCCGACTCTGTGACGAATCAGACGATGAAGCATCAGATGAACACGAAGCGCTCCTTGCCAATTTTGGCCCAATCGCCATCTCTTGGTGCTGCAGAAGTGCTTTAGCAGCGCCCGACTTCTGCGAGACCGGCGGTGTGGAAAGCGCCTTCTTGTCCTTAGGCTCCAATTTCTGCGGCGGCTTATCAGGTTTCTTGCTGGGCTTCGAGGCAGGTTTCAAAGCGTTGGCGTTGGCGTTGGCCATTGGAGCATTGTTTGCAGCTGGTCTCAGCACCGGTCGAATCTCTGGCTCTACGACATTCGTCGAACGCACTCGTGGAGGGCCCGACATTGCAAAACTCTCTCTCTCTCTCTCTCTCTGTCCACAGTAACTTTCCAGAAGATATTCAATCCAATTCCAAGCACATTTTACCAGGTCGATGCTCAAAAACTCGAATCACTCCTCAATTGAGCACTTACCGACAATGGCTTATCCCCCAAATCTCCCCCTCTCCCGATCACCGCCTGTACGGACAGCGAAGCAGCGACCTTAGGGCAGGCGAATGTCGACGAAGGAGAGACGCTCGGAGCTCGTCGCCGAGAGCCGAGAGGAAGAGCTCTCAGGACCCGGCGTTCAAGGCGCGAGAGCGGGCAAAGGAATCGAGCTGCGCTCGGAGGAAGGTGGCGAACGGCGCCGGAGGCCTCGCCGGAGAAAAGCTCCGGTACGGTGGAGAGAAAGTCGCGCCGCTTCGCTCTTTCTCTTTCCCGGTGGGTGAAGAGGGAAAGTGCGGGAAAGTGCGGGGAAAGTCAGTCCGTGAGAGAAAGTAGAAGAAGAAGAAGAAGTGAAGCCTTCTTCGCGAATGTGAACTCGAGTGGACTTTAACGCGAGAAAGCAACGTATCAGCAAGAAGACAGAGAGAGAGAGAGAGAGAGAGAGAGGGAGGGAGCCAATGAAGGCGCGCCACGTCGGAAGCATTTTGAACTCCCGGAGCGCTCGGCCCGACCCGTAAGGTTCGGATCCGGGTCCGGTTTGGGGGGAGGCCCGGTTTGCGGGAGACGGACTTGGGTGGGGCCCCACTTATCCAACCATCTTCCACCTCTCGATTGAAATCCCAACGTCTACTTCCTACTTCGGCCGACCACGCAACTGCAGTAACGGCATCATGGCCGCCGCAGCTCCCCCGTTCCCGAATTCTCTCTCGCCGTTCTCGACGAACCCGAGCTCGGCCTCGCCGTCGCCTCGCCTCGCCAGGCCCTCGTTCCCCGCCGCCCACTCCGAGCAGCCCCCGCCGCTGCGCGCGAGAAGGCGGGACGGCCCCCGGCCGGCTCGTGCCAAGAAGAAGAACCCGTGGCTCGACCCTTTCGACGACGGGGAGGACCCGGACATGGAGTACGGGTCGCTGTTCGCGGACGGCAAGCAGGAGGAGGACCCCAGGCCGCCCGACAACCCGGACAGCCCCTACGGGTTCCTCAAGTTCCCGATGGGGTACAACGTGGAGATCGCCGGCCTGGCGCTGAAGGTGAGGGGGGACGTGAGGAGGTGCTGCTGCGTGGTCTCGGGCGGCGTGTACGAGAACCTGCTCTTCTTTCCGGCGATACAGTTGATCAAAGATAGGTACCCGGGGGTCCAGGTGGATGTGGTCGCGTCGGCGAGGGGGAAGCAGACTTACGAGCTGAACAAGAATGTGAGGTGGGCTGATGCATATGACCCTGACTACGACTTCCCCGAGCCTGCGGACCTTATGGACATGCTCGGAGTGCTTAAGGTTAAGATCATAACTTCATTTGCCCCCTTTAACCCTCATCCAACATAAGGACAACGAATGGATGTTCGGAATGTGATGCATCGCTGACCGTAATTGACGAATTCGGTAGTTTGAACTCAACTCTGTTGGCAGTTCAAAGAGCAGCTGCAATGATGCTGATTAGTTTTTATCTTGTTAACTTTGATTGTACGTTTCTCCTGAGCTGGTGTCTCCAGACATGGTGGTTGATGAAATCATCGATTGCGAGTTGATCAGCATAACACAATTTGTAGGAGAAACTCAGCGGATTGCAGTGATGAATGGAAACTCACTTGCTATGTTTCCCTCTGTTCTTGCAGAGTAGGTATTATGACATGGTTCTGTCGACTAAACTGGCAGGGCTTGGGCACGCGTCATTCTTGTTCATGACGTCGGCCCGCGATCGAGTCAGCTACATTTATCCCAATGTGAATGCTGCAGGAGCGGGACTACTTCTATCCGAGACTTTCACGGCAGAAAGCACCAATCTTTCAGAGGGTGGATACAACATGTGAGACTCTCACTTAAGCTTTTTTTTTCCGCATTCGCACGGTAATAAGGTGGAACAACCCTGTGAAGAACAAAAAAACGGTTGATGAGGCATTTTGTAACTTCAGGTATCAACAAATGGTTGATTGGTTAGGAAGACCCTTTCGCAGCGTGCCAAGGCATCCTGTTCGACCGCTAAAGGTTTCTATCTCGAAGAAGCTGAAGGAGGTTGTCGGAGTAAAGGTCAAGAACACCGGAGCAGAGAAGGGGAAGTATATCGTGATTCACGGGCTGGAATCAGATTCAAAGGCTTCAATGCAGTCGAAAGGGGATGCCGATAGCTTGCTGCCGCTCACAGTTTGGGCTGAAATCGCCGAGGGTATAAGGTAATCACTTAGCTTTTCTTTCGATACTCAAACGTATGAATTATGATGCTTTCTAGGACTAAAACTAAAGTATGATCGAGAAAATAGTTTTGCCTGAAGCTGCAGGGCCAGATTCAGTTCTGCTGACCATCCTTGTTGAACAAAATGTGACAACTATACTTGAAGATAATATGAACCGAAAATTTCGTCGAGAGTCGAACCCAGTTATCATCGAACTAAATAGAAAAGTTCAAAATCAAGCTCCTCAATACATGGTATTAAATGGCCATTGAACTTCCTCTGGCAAGAGGAACTTTTATGAGACGGGTACATGAAAAAGAGACATTGCTTGACACGGTTCTTTTGATGTAAAATTGAAACAGAGGGGTGAGGCCGATATTCGTCATTCCACATGAAAAGGAAAGAGAAAATGTGGAGGAGATCATCGGAGAAGATGCCAGCATCGTCTTTATAACTACACCAGGTCAGGTATGTGGTTAATGAATGTCAGGTCGGAGTATTCTGCCCTGTTCTCAATTTTGTTCTGTTGCGAAACTGGTTAATGCATTAGCATCAGGTAGCTATGAAGATTCTAAAAGGAACTCCAGTTCTCGTTTCCAATGAATTTTCCGCGCATGACATCTTGAGACCTCTTCTGCTTCCTTTTGGTTGCTTGCTGCGGCGATTGACAATAAAACATCCAGTTCACTAAGTTCATATCGGTACCCGTTTTATCTCATCTCTGCTACATATGCTGCAAACAAATAGTTGATGTGTCAACAGAATGGCTGCAAAATAGCGTCCTCGTGTGAAGAATGAAACTTTACTTCCATTCTTTTATTCATTCTCCTTCAGCTGGCTGCGCTAATCAATGACTCAGTCGGGGTAATAGCAACAAATACGGCTGCTATCCAACTAGCCAATGCACGTGAAAAACCGAGGTAAATTTATATGTGAATGGCTCCTCTCGTTTTGAGTTTAAAGTGCACTGCCTTCCTCGTAGTGCTTTTCTTTTGAATATTAGCTGATTAACAGTAAATCACTTGCGATTAGTCACAGCAGATTTCTGACTCATATCACGAGTGCTCATTTGCAGCATTGCCCTGTTTTCCTCTGAAGAGAAGGCAAAAATATTCATTCCGAACCCAGAAGAGAGAAAATGTACGGTGGTTTCCTCCAAAACTGGAAAACTTGTTGATATTGACGTTGAAGCTGTGAAAAAGTCTATGAAGATTTTTTATGTCTCCCTAGCTCTAGCCTAGAAGTGATGATGCTTCTTTTTGGGTCCTCTGTATTCTTAACATTCCAATTTGTATATGTCTATCCAATTGAAATGATATGGAAGCCCAGTTGTCGTATCAAGTGGCCTCATCTAAATAGAAAGTGCACCAGGAGCTTTTACACAGACTATCACCTGTCCCACTATGCCAGTTGCGTTCGGGTTGTTATGGATGAACATTCCCAACATCGAAATTGATTATGCACTTACATTCAGATGAGGAATATGTGTAGAGGAATAAAAATGATACTATGGTAACGTGTAGTCACTTAGCATCTGAAGTTAGTAAACATGGCATTTCCAGGATAAAATGAACAGATTAGACTGCAGGAAAAGTGCAAGACAAGGTATAAATTATAGGCCGCAAGTGTGATGAGCAGCATTAACCAACGCATGCTCAAGGCCTTGTGGTGTTTTGTATTTTAGAAGCGAAAAAGCCGAAGCATTTCAACCATGAAGCTAAATATCTTGTTGTCAGCATGGTTAAAGAATTATTCAGTCTTCCAAAGAAGGAAATATAACATGATGTCCAACTGCAGAAAGAGGAAAAAATGACTCTGAATGAAACAATCACCGAACTAAGCATCCATTGCAGTTATGCAGAATGACTCCAAAGTTGCTGGTTAGAATCAGAATCATGAAAGATCATGAGATTGCCTCCGCACGAGTACCTAGATCTTCCGTCGACTCTAGATGCATCATAAATACATAGCCTAGCACCCACAAGGCAATGTATTGAAAAGGTACCCAAGCTAAACATGCAACGAGGCTCGTGATGCTTCCAATGTACTGAGGATCTTTTATGTATCCGAAAGGAAATTCAGTCACCCACGGAATGTTCTTCCCAAACCGCACGCCATAGTAGGTCCCGGATTCACCAAGCAACTGATAAACCCTGTGGAACATTTACTATTAGAACCAAAGAAATTATGTTCTTGTAGAACATGCAGCTCTATTACAGAAAGGCAGTCCATGGCATGCTTTAGAAAAAGTCTTTTTTGGCAGAAGAAGGTAACAACCAAGCAAAAATAAGTCGCAGCTACATTCTCACACTATATCTAAATATATGCTTGCTCCTTTCTCCTCAGACATACACTCTTACTCTAATTCTGATTCCACTTTGATTATAATTCTGCATTTCTACTTTTCCTCCAATATCATATGTTTTAGCTCATGAGCCAACAGAAACTCAGAACATCATACACAGGTATTTCCTTTTTCAAGAAATGGGTTTTGCAAACTTAGAAGGCTCTCGGCATTCTAGAAGCATCCTTCCATAAAGTCACGGGAATGAGCATACCAAAGAAAAACAGTCATCTTTCAGATTATTACACTAGCTCCAAGAATACACGTGCTCCTGATTTCACGAAAAGTTGAAAAATCTCCATATGGACAATCCAAAGATCCATTTACAAGCTAACCGTTAAATAGAGCAACGACAGCATCTTTGCACTCCATGGATGGAGAAAGGAAAACATCTTTGAACTTACTTACATTCAAAACTTTTTTAAGATAACAAACTGTATCTGCTAGTCACTTCATCACCAGATATAAAGCTGCCAAAAGAAATAGAAAAGAAACAGAATGAAGAAATTAAAAAAAAGAGGTGTTTGACAGCATAACAGCTCGACAGGTATCTTCAGCCTCTAATTGTCAATGCAATCAGTTACATATCCTTCCATATTCCATCTTACTCATTTGATGAAGACAACCCAAACGAACCACAGACAAAAACAATTGCCAACAGAGCAACATAACTCCTCAAGCTCACGATAATAGCAAAAGACAATTTCCAAAAGCTTTATGCCCAAATCTGGCAAATTCCCTATTAGTCTCCCCAGAATACAGAACAATAGACAAACAAACATATGCCAAATAACACTTCAACGCCCATATTTACCAAACATAAGTCATAAAACTACATCAAACGAAAGGGCAAATCTATTTTGTTTTCGTTGGGGGTTTGGGGATACCTGAAGTTGAGGAACTGGCCAAAGAGGAAGAGGGGCCAGAAGTAGAGAGGGGGAGGCCAAGACAAGGAAGAGACAGAAAAGAGAGAGAGGATCTGAATCAGCTTCAACAAGTGAGAAACCAGAGCCATCACTTTGCTTGGGTCACGCCCTCTCCCACACAGATTCACCCATGCCTGCGGCCTCCTCCATAGCCAGTAGTAGAACGGGAATGGCACGAGCACACCGATCCCCGCCACTATCCCCATCTCCCTCTCCCTCTCCCTCTCCCTCTGCTGATCTTTCTGTGTTCCCTGTGTCTGCTCTGCTGTGGACTTGAATATTGAAGGGGCCACACGCATTGGTCTTGGCCCATATCTTGGTCTAGGCCGAATTCCTACAGAACAGGCCCATACAATGGTCTGTTTTTCCTGTTGTAGATACGTTGCAGTTGTCAATAATGGACGACAACCTTTGTGGATCGAACAAAGCATAAGTTAGACCCTTTACTTTCTGCGGGTTAATTCAAAAGAAAAAGTATGAACTTTAAGTCGAGAGACAATTCTGATCCCAACTTTTTTTTGTCCCATAAAAAAGCACCAATTTTAGGTCGAGGGACAATTTTGACCCGAACTTTTTTTTTATCCCGTAAAAAAGTACCAACTTTAAGTCGAGGGACAATTTTGGCCCGAACTTTTTTTTATCCCATAAAAAAACACTAACTTTAGGTCAAGTCACAATTCTGGCCCCAACTTTTTTTGTCTTGTAAAAAAGCACCAACTTTTACTTAAATCCCAAATATGGCCCCCATTCACTTAGAACCATTGATTATTTAACTTGACTATTCCACCTTAGCAATAAATCCACGTGGCTTGCTAACTGGATTTAAAGCAATATTTATTATCTTATTTTCTGAGTCACAATTTGAAGAATAACGGTGAAACTGTTTGTCTCCTTCACTTCACCGGCAAGTCAAAAATATCTCCAGATTGATTCTCTTTGGCCAGACGTAATCTGAAGCTGACCACCGCCTGTCAACAAATGCCATGGACGAGATTCGCCAAGCTCACTACCATAACTTTTTTTCTCAAATAATGGTGACTTCAGATAGAAAGTCAACGGAGGGCCAGATTTGAAATCAGGGTGAAAGTTAGTGATTTTTTATGAGACAAAAAAATTAGGGTCAAAATTGTTTCTCAACCTAAAGTTTGTGTTTTTTTATGGGACAAAAAAAAGTTCGGGCCAGAATTATCCCTCGACCTAAAATTGGTACTTTTTTAAGGGACAAAAAAAGTTCGGTTTAAAATTATTTCTCGATCTAAAGTCAGTGTTTTTTTTTTAAATTAGGGTCTGCATAGCAACGTTTCTGTTCCCAAAAATAATTTCTGATCAGAAATAGTTTTTTCTATTTCTATTTCTTGGAACAGTTTCTGAGCAAAAAATAGCGTTTAGTAACTGCACAAAATTTCTATTCCTAAAATAGAAAAAGAATAGAAACGCGTTTAGGGCATGAATGATCCATTTCTATTCCATGGACGAGTTTCTCCCTTCTGGGCTACCGGCGGAGGACGGTGGGTGGCGGTAGGGGGCGGAGGACGGTAGTCGGTGGCGGCAGAGGATGGCGGCCGGCGGCGGGAGGCAGTGGAGCACGGCGGTCAGCAGCGGAGCACGGTGGCATCGGGCGGCGGTGACGGCAGCGGGGGGTGGTGGCGGGAGGTGGCTGGCAGCGGAGGGTGGCCAGCGTCGGTCGATGGAGCACCGCGGCCGGTGGTGAAGGATGGCGGCTGATGGTGGGTGATTGCCGGCGTCGGGTGGCCAGGGGCGGGAGATGGCCGGCGGCCGAGGGCAGCCAGCGCCGGGTGGTGGCCGACGTCGGGCAGTGGAGCATAATGGTCGACGGCGGAGGATGGCGGCCGGTGGTGGGTGGTCGCCGACGGCGGAGGACGACGACCGGTGATGGGTGATCGCCGGCGTTGGGTGGTTGGCGGGGGGAGGCGGCCAGAGTCGGGCGATGGAGCACGGCGGCTAGCGGTGGAGGACGGCGGCCGGTGGCGACAAGCGTCGAGCGGCGGAGGATAGTGGTCGATGACAAGAGGCGGCCGGCGGCGGCGGAAGGCGGGCGGTAGGTGGCAGCGAAGGACGGCGAGAGGGCGGGTTGCGGCCGATGGATTGTTTCTTGTTTTTGGAAGATTCCAGAAAAAATCGTTTCTTGTTTTTGTTCCAGAAACAAAGAAGTAGATTTTTTTTGCTTTTTGTTTCTGTTCCAAATCTATTCTAGGATCACTTTTTTGTTCTAGAAACAAAAAAGTATTTTTTTTACTAAACTGATTTCTGTTCTTTTTTTATTCCGGGGAACAAAAAAATAAAAAAATAAAAAAATAGAAACGTTACTAAACAGACCCTAGGCTTACTTTCTACGGGATATCATTTCTGCAGGCATTTCTCTGGTCCCGTCCATTCTCATGTGAAAATTGGTGATGATCGGAGCCCTTTTCATCATGAAGATAGAGCTGTCGCATCTTGGACTACAGTGGAGATCAAGAAGATAAGGTGGACAAAACCCAGTTGGGATTCTCTGGTCCCGGAATCGAATTGTTACTCAACATCTCAAATTCTCCCAAAAAAAGTTGTTTAAGAGTGTGGTTCGAGCATCACAATGTCTTCATATCAATTATTTTATAGCATTTGTGATGGATCATAGCAGACATACACATGATAACTAAGCATTTTGCGTATATTCTGCACATTAATCGAAGTTCAAGCTCAAAGGATCGATTCTCTAATTTATTACACGAAAATAAGAATACTTACTATCGCGACCTAAAAAAAAAATCGGATTTTCGATCTTAGGCTAATGGATTACTAGATCAATTAAATTAACTAACCTAGCTCGAGTTCTCCCAAACTCTACCAAATCGCAACTTAGGTCCAATTGTGAGCGTGCAAATATTTTCAATGGGAGTCGCCACTAATCATTTAAGGTAGGATGATTAGAAACCTAAATAAAATAGCGGGAATACTATTTTATTTCTGCGAACCAGAAATTATAAATTCGGGGACTTGGTTACGCTAGATTCCCTAACGCCCTTTCGGTACCAATTTCAAGAGAAATACTCAATTGGACAATTTTGATAAATCCTGACTTAGAGTTCAAAGGTGCAGAAATTTTCTTTTTTGATTTTTTATTTATTTAAATGAAAGCTAACCTATATGTAATGACGTGCAAAAATTGACATGTGATTAATGCAACCTAACATGCAAACTATATATCATGCGACGACATGATCTATTTCTAATGATGGGCATATTATTTTTTTTTGTATTTTTTCTTTAATGAAATTCGGAATTAAAAATGCCAATTATCTAAACATGCAATTTTAAACTAAAGAAATTAAACTATTCTAGAGTAATCTTTTTGGCATTTTTTTTTATCAAAATTCGAAATTAAAATCAAGTAAAAAATATAACCGCTAAATCTTTCGAATTAAGTTTCGATCTGAAGCCTGACAGATCGATCCTCAAATTCGAAATACCCGCTATGGAAATAACTCTATCTAAAGCCTGATAGATAGATTTATTTCTACATGTGCGGTTGTGGATTAGGAAATTTTCCTAATCGATCACATCTTGAAAAAAATTAGATATCTTAAATATCTTGGATATATTCAAAAGATTTTGAAAATTCTAAATTCTATCCAAATTTGAAAAGTAATAGATATCCAAGATTTCAAAAAAGGAAATAAAATCCTAATTGAAATAATGCTTATTATCCAAATATGCAAAATTAGATATCAATAAGCACAAATTAGGCAACCAAATATTCGAATCAAATCGGGATATGATAATTACCTGATTTGCAGATTTCTTTCTTAATTTGAATCTGTAGCGGATCGGGATTGCGGATCGGCGGTGCGTCGGGAGCGGCGGCGTGATGTTGGGAGCAGTGGCGGCTAGCGACGGTGACACGACGGGAACGGCGGCGCGGCGAGCGTCTCCGGGCAACGGCCAACAGGCGGGGACGGGCGACTCTCCGGTGGCTGTGCAGCGAACAGCGGCAGCATAGGCGGTGGGCTAACGGCGGTGCAGGCGGCTCCGGTTGGCGAGCAACGGTGCAGGGCAGCTCTTCGGCGGCTGTGCAGCGAGCAGCGGCAACACAGACGGGCGGAGCAGGGACGTCCAGGCGGTGGTGGCACCGGCGCGGCGGCTGGCAGTGTGGGCGTACAGCGGCGGTGGCACACGGCGGGAGACGGCCAGCAGGCAGCGGCAGAGGCAAAGCGCGCAGCGGGCGGTGGCGCGGCAGGCGTGCAATGGCTGAGGGGCGGAGCAGCTCCGGCGTAGTGCGGCAGGCGGTGGCGCGGCAGGCGTGCAGTGCGGCGCGGCGGGCGGTCTCCTTCTCTCTCTCTCTCACTCTTCTCAAAATTCTCTCGTATGTCTCTCTAAAAATCCGATCTGAAAAATTCTGAGAGCCCCCTACTTGATTATGAGACATAAACATATATTTATAATGTAAACCTAGATCAATTAGCTGGGCTTTCTAGTCCTAATGGGCTTAGGTTTAGGCTTTAATTTAATTCTAAATGGGCTGAATTAATTTGGGCTTTTCTTTAATTAAGCATAATGGGCTAATTTAAGCTCAAATTAAGACAACCAAGTCCTTTTGTGTGTGATTTTCGGCTCATGCTTTCCGAGTGAGCCGAATCTCGTTCGGTGCCCGAGCTCGATTTACGTGATGAATTTTAAGCTCGCTTACCACCGCCAATCCGATGCGAAATGCAATTAATCTATATGAACCTAAACTTTATGCTATGCGATTTGTAATATTTTTGTTCAGGGATTAAAATTTAATCCCTAATTTTCTATGCAATTAATCACTAAATGATGCGCCGAAATTTAGGTGTCAACAGTTGACCCTCTTTGAGTGGAGGCTCGCAGAGGTTTCGCTCAAAGACTGAGACCTAAATTTAAACTATGCAAAATGATGAATGATGATTTTTTTTTAATGCAATGATGCATGATATGCAAACAATAAAGAACGTATGCTAAGGCTTCTCACTTCGTGTAGAGCGGTGAAAGAGCCTTACATACGGATCGCACAAAAAGCGTCCAAGTGAGGGAAAGCTTTATAATGCTTTGACTTCCCTCGATCTCCAAACTTCTGGTCCACTGGAAGTAAGGTTCTCGAGGTATTGGATTGCCTATCTGTTACCTGTAGTTTCCTACAGATGCAAAATAGCGCATGATATAAAGAAAGAATGTGATGTGTTGCCCATACCACTGGGCAATCACGAAAAGGATCAT